ACACCTTCCTCATGGTAAAGCCCTGCTGGGGTGCTGCCCTGTGGCATCCTCCAGCCTCTGCCGGGGTGCGAGGGGGTCACCGGGTGATTCTCTGAGTGTCCTCAAGCCCCCGTGACCCCTCACAAGCTGAGGTTTGATGCCCGCTGTCTCCTTCTCTTTCAGAGCCACAAGAACCGCAAGCGCAGGTAAGTCCTGGCCCCCGCCGTGTCCTCTGCCCGGTGACACGGGGTGCTGGGGGTGGCTGAGCCCCCTCTCCCCTTCCCTGGGGCTGAGCGGGATCTCCTGCCTGGCGAGTTATCCGTGTGTTCCCTCCGGGTCTGGGTGCTCCAGCAGAAGAAGGTGCTGGGGGTCCCCAGGGCCGGGCAGCACCCTTGGGTGCCTCGGGGCAGCGGGGGGTGGGCACATGCGGACACAAAGCAGCGTTGCTGGTCTCGGGATAAGCTTTACAACCCTGGTGGCACAGGGATTTGGTGCTGGGACCCTCCTGGCACGGTTCTCCACCCTCCTGGGGTGAGAGCAAGGTTTGGGAGATGTGGGGTGCTGGTGGGGAAGCCCCTGCCAAAACACAGGCTTCCAGGAGACTCAGCCTGGTCTCTTCCTCCATCCTTGACCCGTCTCCATCCCCTGCCCTTGCCCCAGGATCGCCTGCACAGCCGAGGAGCCGGAGGCCGTGCCCTCAGGGATGCTCCTCGACGTTGCCAAGTACCTGGGCTCGCTGCAGTACAACGTGTGGAAGAAGATGCTGGACATCATCACCGTTGGTGAGGTGCTGGGCCTGGGGGGATGCGTGGGTACCCCCCCCGAAGGGTGGTTATCCCAGGGCTTGTGTGGGGCAGCCCCAGGTGTGGTGGGTGTTGGAGAGGAGCACGGAGCAGCCATGCCCACAGGTGATGGCCCTGGGGAAGGGGGTTGGAGCATAAAGGGTGCTCTGGGGCACTTTGCACCCCAAAAAGGAAGCCTTGGAGGGTGCATTTCTCCATGGTGAGCTGGGTTAGGAAAGGATGGAAGGATGGATGCCTGCAGGGCTGTGCTTCCCCCGTAAGCTCATCCCTGCAGCAAGCCGGGCTCCTGACACGCGTGTCCCCGCCGCAGTCCCCTTCAGCACAGCTTCGACCCCAACTCTGCGGCTGGCTGGCTCTCGGTGTCCGAAGACCTCTCCAGCGTCACCAAAGGGGGCTACAAGCTGCTGGTGGAGAATCCCGAGCGCTTCACCTCTGCCCCCTGCATCCTGGGCTCCCACGGCTTCTCCACTGGCTTCCACACCTGGGAGGTGGACCTGGGCAGCATCACGAACTGGAGGGTGGGGGTGGCCCGGCCATGCGGTGGTACCCACTGGACCTTCCACCACGATGCTCGGTCCGGTTTCTGGTACATCTACCGCCTGCCCGGGAAGGACGGCGAGACGTGCCGAGCATCCAACGCGGCGCGTTCGGAAGCGGCGCTGGGAGACGTGAAACGGATCCGGGTAGAGCTGGACTGCGACGAAGGGGAACTCTCCTTCTACGACGCCGACCGCAAGACCCACATCTACACCTTCCATGAGAAGTTCGGCAGCATCGTCTTCCCCTATTTCTACGTGGGGGGCACGGGGGTGGGCGCGCTGCCCGAGGCGCTCCGCATCTGTCCCCTCCGGGTCCGCATCCATGAGGATGTTCCCGTCTGATGACCAATACCTCCGGCCACCACCGCCTCTGCCTTCATTTGGGGTTCTCCAGGTGCTTTTTCAGCTTTTCCCAAGAAAAAAAGAAAAAGGGAAAAAAAGTGTTATGTATGTACTGCTGCTTTTTTTTTTATCATTAATAAACATTTTGATCTTACAGCATGGCGCTGCACCTCTTCCTAAATCACCCCGGCTCCTTTCCTGCCCCTCTCCGTCACTCATCAAAGCTGGGAAGGCTTTGGGGAGAAGGTATCTCCCTGCCAGGGGGGCTGTAAATAGTAATTTAAGCGATCTGGGGGCTTTCCAAGCGTGCGTGAGTGCTGCAGGCTGCAGGGCTCCCTGTCTCCCTGCGGTGGGTAAGGCGAGGGGACAGGAGAATCCCACGCGGCTTGGCTGGATGCAGGCAGAAGCGTGTGTTTCCCCTCGACGAGGAAAAAGCATCGAGGAGCACGTCCTCGCGAGTAACAACCCATCCTCCTCCCACCCTTCTCCCCATGGCTTTACCCCTTTGAAAGGCTTCTCCGTAAATCCTCAGCTCCAGGAGTTGTGAGGATGGGCAGTTGGTGTTGGGAGGTGGAAGAGGCTTAGGGATGGGGTGGGGGGAGACAAAAAACATCCTCTGCAACCTTGGGCCTGGCTCAGTGTTATCCTGCCAAAAAGGCTTTTTCCACCATCCCGGTAAGCACCTGGGGTTTAAAGGTTCCCTGGGGAAAGGGAGGGTGCCCTCGCTGCCTGGCGCAGCTCGAGACCTGGCTGGCAGGATGCTGATATTAATGGCTGGTTTCCATGGTTTCGCACCATTTACATAGGATGCTCTTTAGGAACAAGAGCCGGTGGCAGAAAAACAAAAGGGAGATGTTGGAGGCGTTGGATGCGGGGGCGACCCCGGGGGTCCTCCGCCTTCCTTACGTCGGATGACGTTATCTCTTTCCAGCCGAGCATCCCTGGATACGGGGAAAGGAGGAAAATCAGCGCAAGCATCCCACCTCCCTCCCTGCGCTGCATCCCGACGCTGCCCATCACATCCCAGAAAAGCTGGCGGTGCCCGGAAATCTGGGCATCCCCATGGCAAATTTGGGCACAAGCAAGGTGTTACCTGGGGACAATAAAAAGCCGAGGAAGCTCGGAGTTGCTGGGGTTGGAGCAGGATGAGGCATTTCTCTTTGTCAGATCCGAAGGGAGCATTTCCCTCCCACGGCTGCCAGCGCCAGAGCAGGTGCCTGGCGTAAAAATGGCAATAAAGGGGGAAATGAGGCATCGCTTTGGATGGTGAAACTGAAAGGTTTTGACTTTTTTCCGAATTGTTTGGTGAAAAATTGGTTTGCAGGAAACAACAGGAATTAATGTACTGCTTGGCTCCCCAAGACTCCGCTTGTTTTTTAGTGTAATACGTGGCACCTGCGTCTTCCCCTGAGCTGAATTTCATTCCCACAGAGGCAGAGAAACGGCTTTAACTTTCCCCTTAAAATGGGAGACGTCTCCCCGGGACTGAGCATTCGCTCGCGCATCCGACGCTGGAGGAGAAACCTGGGGAAGCTCCGGTAAGGGGCAGACGGGTTTTGCCTGGGACCCTCCTCTGCAGCCGTCACAGCCTTCCCCGATGCCCGAGATTCCGCCTGGGACACGCCGGTTACTTGCAGAACCTTTTCCCAGCTCGAACCTTCCTCTTGCAGCAATTAGCATTAACTGTTATTAAAACCACATTATTATTTATCATCGTATTGTACTATTTTATTATATATCCTAATATTATCGTTACATTATTTTACTATCTTTATTATTATTTCAGCGTCATTCTCGGCTGCTCCAGCCCGCGGGGAGCCCGGGATCCCCATCCCCATCCATCCCGGTGCTGGTCCTCTGCGAGGGGCGGGTGGGCATCGCTGGGTCATGGGTGGGTGTGGGGTGCGAGTGGGGTTCCCCGGTACCTGGGTGGGGAAGGAGGCGTGATTCCACCCGGGGAAGGGCTGGGGTTGCTGCAATG